TTAGGAGGAAAATTTTGATTGAGTTTTAGGCCTTTTTTTTTTTTGGTTATGTCCTGTGTCTTCTTGGTACATATTGGTCTATGAAACTCAATTTATATAGTGTTAAGTTTCTTTACTGAATCCCTTAATTTGTTGCCAATCAATCCCATTTTTGTTGTGATTTTATTTGATTGCATATATAAACCAAAATTTGGTTTGTACAAAAGTGGGATTGAGGGATTCCTGTAACAAAACAACCATATTTTCCTACGGTTTTGCTATGAAGCCAACAATTGGCTTCATAGTGGAGCCAACTTTCTATATACATCAAGTAAATTATATCATATTAATAATATTTTTATTGTTATTTAAGTAATATTATTAGTAATATTAGTAATATTAATAATATTATTAATATTTAAGTAAATATTATTAATAATATTTAATAATATTAATAATGTTATTTAAATAAACCATACCATATTCTTTGATTACTTAAATAACATTAATAATATTATTAATATGGTATGAGAAAATGAAAAAATGATATAAGAAATATGGTATAAGAAAAGAAATATTTGTGTCATCTTTAAATACAAAACAATTTTGGTAATGAAGAAAACACTGATGGGAGACAATAATGTATCGTGAAAATATTTTTATTATGGCACTTTCCAAGCCAATTTTGTTTCTAAATTTTTTGTCCGAACGTAAACACAAATCATTATATGGTGACACGTAGGATTCCAAAACGTGCAAGCCTACAGTTAGAGTCAATACGTTTTGAATTAATATATAGGAGTATAAATTTCATCGAATAAATTTACACGAGTTCAAAAAATCTCAACTCTTATTTGTTACAAAATCCTATTGCATAAATCTCACGAGTTTAAAAAAATCTCATCTCTTATTTATCTTAACATTTCTTAAAAAGCTAATTTTGTCTCATTACTAATATTTTTACAAATTCTTTTGAATAGTAACAACCTAAATAAATAATAATAATTTTGAAATTTTGTGTACTCAAATTTTTTAGATGGAAATAATGTGATAAATCCCAGACTAAATCTTCACACGAAAGCTTTAGCGTGAGTATTTATTAAATTAGGCTTATAATATTTTAGATACTTTAAACAAATTGTTTAGACATTTTTTTTACATATTCTGTATATATATATATAAATATATATACATGTACATAAATTATGTTAAATTTAAATATTATTAGACATGTTTTCTTTACAAAATAGTTTAGAAAAATCTCTTATACAGATATTAAGTTTAAACGTTCTTAGGTATGTTTTCTTTCTAAAGTAGTTTAGAAAAAAGTTGTAGGTGACTTCACATATTTAAAAAATAATATAAATTTTTTTGAATACTTTTAAATATATTAATACAATATTATAAGTATTTTTAATTTTAAACATACAAATTTTATATTCTCTTATACAAGATAAATTTACATTGTTTAACCCCGAATCTTTAATTTATAATTATTAAGTACTGTTTACCTCCTCTTTAATTTATAGTTATTTTTTCTTCCTCTTTCTAAATAGGATCAATAGTAGTTTCCACTTCCACCATTGAATGACTCAAACTCGAGACCTATTTATAATATTAATATTTAATATTATTTTCGTGCACCGCACAGAATACATACTAATTATATATAAAAAATACCAATGATATTTACAATATTCATCTAATAATTATTTTACTTTCGGGTCCTGATTTGAAAGATTCTATCTTTCAATCCCCATATTAAAAGTTGACTCATCTTCCGAATCTCAAATTGATATAAACTGAAGTCATATAAATTGATTGTTTTTCTATCTTTTGGATTCTTGATCAAATTTATCTAATGGTATGATTGGTATGCGGGAATGGCATGAGAATGGAATATTCATTCCCTTAATCATTTTTATTTTCATGATTGGTATATTTTTTTGAAAAGGGATGACCGTTCCAATGGGAATTTCAAATTCCATATCCATAAGTTTAGCCATTCCACAGCAAATGCAAGGTTTTTCCCATTCTCATATGTGTAGGAATCAAATTTCTCAAGAAATGAAATTTACAAATAATAATAATAATAAATAAATATATAATATATACCATAAATTATAATTAAACTAAAATAAATAAAATAATTCCAAAAAATAAATTTCAAATAAAAAAATTAAAAACTTATTTTTATTTATTGTTTATATTTTAATTAGATATATGAAATACTTATACAACAACAACAAGCCGCTAAAATCTCACTAAGTGGGTTCAAGTGTATGGATCACTTGTCGCCGGCTCGCCATCGTGCTCGATCAAAACACATATCCACATTCAAATTTAAATATTTAAAATAATTTTTATTATTTTCATCCAAGTTTTCTTAGGTCTACCCTCCTACTTTTAATTTGCGTTCTTAATTCTAATGTTTCTAAGTCTCTACTACGCACATGCCCAAACCATATTATATAAAAATAAAACTAAAAATGCATTTATAAATAATTTAAAAAGATATTATTTTATTTTTTTATATATCAAATATATTATAAATTTATTCATAAATTGAATTATAATATAAAAAATTATATTCGACTACATATGCTTGTGGGGGTTTATGTAATGCTATATTTGTATTAGCTAATATGTATATGAAACATAGTTCACTAATTTATTATATAAATATATGAGTGTAAAAATATAAAAATATATTTATCAAAATATAGTATTTTTTTTAAATAATAATTTTATTATTATCATAAATAAAAAATATTAACATAAATATGATTTTTTTTTATATATAAATAGTGATAAATGATAGTATAGAATGATATTGTCATTCTATTCAGGTCTTATTCCTTTTGCATACCAAACACATCAATAAAAAAACTCGTTTCATTCTTTTTTCATATTATTTCTATTCTTCAACTCATTTCATTCCTATCAAATTTCATTTCATTATACCAATCATGCCATAACTACTACCAATATAATTATCCTTGTTCTAATATCAAATTAATTATCAATCGTATTCTTTTTCTCACATTTATTAACAACTAGTACGTAACCCGTGCGATGCACGGGCTATATTTATTTCGAGAAATATTATAATTTAAAATGTATTAATAAATAAAATAGTGATATTACGTGTCAAATCATAAAATATTCATCGTGAAAAATAATATATTATTAAGAACCTCATTGTACACTATTATTATTTTGATTAATTGGCAACTCGTTGTCCACAAAAACTAATATTTTAAAC